CCTTTCTTTAACGAAGCCTTTACCCGAATGTTAATTTTAAAGGTCGTTTGAGAATAAATTATACTTATTGAAAAGCGATAGATTTAAAGGGATACAGTGTTGTTGAAATTTATTTCACTCCCTTGACGTTAATCTATTGTAGATACATTTTATAGGTGGAAGTGAAGCAACAAATCTCAATTTGTAAGCGATAATTTCTCGCCAACAGTAAATAATGTGGATTATCGATGTTAAATAAATGTCTGTTATTAATCGTTGCTCTCTCTCTCTCTCTCTCTCTCTCTCTCTCTCTCTCTCTCTCTCTCGGCAAACTTTTCGATTCATTTGCCACCATCTTCAACAACTAAGATCAAATTAACAATTAGCCAAGTTTTAGCACATAATTATTAGATAATGTTATTCTCGAGCTTCACCTCCCCGTACTTGGCATAGAAGGCGATCTGACATTCGAGTGAAAAATAAACTCTCATAATATTTGCGCGACAGCTTGATTAAAAAACAAAAAAAAAAACAAAAAAAAAAAAGAAATGAAAAGAAAAGAATGTCAAATAAAGGTGCTGTTAAGAGAGTTCGGAGATCCTTCAGCGATTGTTTTGGTTACGGTTAAAAGGAGTTATGGCGCTAGAAACGGGTCGGATGAATAAGTAACGCCATGTTGGTCTAGTGTGATTGCTTCGAACGGACGTGAAACTAACTATCCTCCGCAGTTTCTACGGAATTCTCAGAAAGAAAAGTGCAGTTAAGTGACTTCTTATTTGGATCTTGTGTTCACAGTATGCCGAGCAACTGTACGAGCAATCCACTGATTTCCTTACCGAGCACGCAAATTTCACTAATGAATTACTTGACGCACTGTACAGAAGGAAAACGAAATGCGTACTTCGACGATACACGCACACATTGTTAACTGCTTTGTGCATTCTTCTCCTACTCCCACATCCACTTCATAATCGTAACTTTCATTGCGTGATCAACGTATGGATAATGTAATAATAATGTCAATTTAATATATGTTTGGGAGTGGGCGTGCGTGCGTGAGGCGTGCTGCGTTAGTAAAAGTTCGAAAAAAAATTCTTCGGGTGAGGAAAGGGCGCTAAGGTTTCTCATATTTTATGCACCTAAGCGCAATATTTCATTCTGCACCGCTAGAATATTATCAATTCTTGTGATGTTCACATCTCAAAGCTTTGAGCGTATCGTGAAACAACAACCGTTAAGAATATATAATGCAATATCGTTTTGAAAATCTTCTTTCCTCGTATACGCGAGGAAATTTTAACAGCTTCATTCGTACATTAATTCGAGCTTATATATACGAAAATTTGTTAACTAAAGCTCGATTAGAAAAATTGTAAAAGTGCGTCGATGTGTCGTATGTTTACGGAGAGCCGATTAAAAAAATTTTAATATCTCAGTTGGCCCAATTTCCTTTAATTAATTACTGAATTACTTAATTAAAACAAACGATCAATTTAATTGCCAAGCAAATATTGAAACAATCATCTTATCTATCAAGTTGTTGAAATACGATAAAAGAAAAAAGGTGAATAATTTATCACGAGATTAAATGCCAGAGTCAAGGGGAATTTTAACCTTCGGTGGGAGAGCGAGAGAGCGAGAGAGAGAGAGCGAGAGGAAGTTATATTGGCATTGCCATTATATTGGCTTAAATTTTGACAAGAACTTTGTCTTACCCGTACTTGATAAATGTGTACAAGTTTTTGGGACAAATCTAGTGATTTATGGGACTTCTTTAGCCCGACCCCCTCTACCCGAAAAACGTTAATACACCGTGAAGAGAATTTATTGAATCGGGCGAAATGCTATATTATATTTCAATACACGCCGGCAACTCATTAATTTTAATCTAACGATAAATATTCCATGTGGTAAAATACTCATTGCATTCGGATAAATGCCCCGCGAGAACCTCACCGAATAAATATTTCGCGAGGCCTAATGAATCTTTCCCCTTCCCTCGTCTCATCCGCCTTTTTGTTCGCACACGGTGATAAAGAATATCGTACGAGAACGAAAATCACCGCCGGCCGTCGACAAAAATTTTGCTTTAAACACACATTGACGAGCATAGTTAGTCCGTCATCGGTCGCCGATCCCCCCCCCCCAAACCTCCTCCTTCTCCTCCTCCGCTTATGCTTTTGGTCCTCGCGATCGGTCAAAGGGGGAAGAAGCGCCTCAGAGCTGGGAAAGGAGTTAGATATAAATTCAAGATTCGACACAGCCGCGAGGTACTAGTCCCACAAGAATCTGTCTCCCTCCACTGCACCCCCTCAACCATACACACACGCGCGCGCGCGCGTCTCTCTCTCTGTGTGTGTGTGTGTGTGTGTGTGTGTGTGTGTGTGTGTGTGACCCCGCCCGCCCGCCCGCCCCTCTACATTTTACTCCTCGAGTTATGATCCCGAAATCCCTAGATCATTATCCTGCCGGTTATTACAGTCGGGGCGCATGCGCGCATACGCCGAGATTTATCTAGCTCGACAACAAATTGCACTTTATTGCTCGGGAGGAGAGCGGCATTATGCGCGCGCGAGCGCTTTTACGCGCGTTTCGCGCGCCTCGATAATTGCCCGCGCGTACACGGCGACGATCATTCTCCCGACTCGCAGCACACACCTCTCTCCCTCACCACCCCGCCCCCGTACCGCTATGACCGCTATGACCGCTATGACCGCTATGACCCCATCCCCAACCCCTCCTCTCGCCACCGTACACCCTCACCATGCTCGCGACCTCGTAATCGGCGACTCATTTTTTATTCCAATCGCGGTGCGCGTTTATTTTCGCGTAATTTCACAAGTGCACACGGCGGCCCATTTCTCACATGGCGCCGGCTTAAATCTCAATCCCGAAAACGAAGCCCCAGCGAAGGTGTAATTTTAAGCTCTACCTGATTGATATATAGGTGGAACGGCGGCCACGGCACTTTCGGGAGTATGATCGAGTAAGTAATTATAAGCGCTGTACGTAGGGCTGAATAACGTCCGAGTTCATTGCGTCGCGCGATGATCGATCTCGGCTTTTTAGCTCGTTAACATTTCATAACGCATACACTATGCCAATCGCTGGCCTTTTCCTCGATAAATGCAAAAGACATTAGCCCCGTGGCCCCACCCCCACCCTCTGCCCCACCAACAAAAACTCTACCGGCTCCACTCCGCTCCACTCGTTTGCGCGAATCGTCGTCACGGTCATGATCGTGCGTGTACACCCACCCCATCCCCGCGCCCTCCCCCGCCATCCCTTCCTTCCTCACAATAACGCGCACACGGAGACGAGATTTGTAAGATGAACGCACGCAACCGAGCCTTCGTAGTAGTTCCTTTGTAAAAGTTCGGATATTTCAGTTGAATGTAACACAAGCTGAGAAGGATAAAATCGCTGAAAGCTTGGCTCGCTCGCGACTTTGCCGCTGGCCTACGGCGCTGCTCCGCGTCAGCTGCATGGACACGGGAAGACATCCTGGCAGAAACGCCGTCGGCCACGCGCATCGCCGATAAAGTCGACGGAACGGTAAACCAGTGGCGGAAAAACTGGTAAAGGAGCCTCGCGGAAATTCGTGTCAGTGGGACGCCAGGCCGCGATCCGCGCGCGGGGGTATCCTCCTTCTCCTTCGTGGCGACAGTCACGCGGCATTAAGAATTTCACTCTTAGCCGCTCGGCTTTCCATCGAGTTATAATTGCACGTGTTCGCGATTACGCGCCACAGCGATTAATGAGATTCGCTCGATCGTGGAATGCGGCAGGGGACTTAATTTCTCACTGGGCCCCCCCGCGACCGCCTAGACCGTAAACTAACCGACCATTCTTTTCTTTTCTTTTCTTTTCTTTTTTTTTTCTATGTTTTCTTTTTACGAGCCTAAGCCTCCGGCTGCTCTCGTTTTTTACCGTCGATCATTTCAATTTTTGGAAGTCGTCCGCGTCACTAGCGCTCATCGAACGAAGATCCGCGCGATAAGAAGGCCTACGGGGAATCGCGCGCGTGCGCAAACAAAAAGTAACGGGGACAGAGCCGAGGTTGCCGGTGAAATTTGTCTAACACGTAGGAACGAAAGCAAAAGCATGCCATTTAATTTATAGACGTTTTCTCCTCGCTGATAGTCATCGCTTTACTCGGACTTTTCAATTTTCTCGAGAAAATCGATAATCACGTAAACGATCGTTTCGTTACGACGTTAACAACACGGCTATTTATTTTGTTAACAATGGAGGCTCGTTAATGTTGAGATTATCAAGGCGTTGAGTTGCAAGTCAAGCACTCGTGAGCTTAGAGTGCAACTCAATTGCAACTCGGAAGCTTTTACTTTTACATATTCACGACTATCGTCCTTAAGGCGACAACACCATCCAGCTAATTCAGCATTCGCCTCCGCGTACCTCATAAATTACAATAATAATCGGACTTGGTAGAAAACTAGCTGGGAGCGAGTAATTATTCGATACGATGGAATGCTGCATGACATTTAGGATTATTTGAGTGAGCTTTGCAAAAAAGTCGGATCCGAAAAGCTTACCTGCCTTACTTTACGGCCGATTTTATCTGCGATCACAATTCCATCGCCACGCGCATTCCAATTTTTTTTTTTTTTTTTTTTTTTTTTATGCCCAACAATTAACAAAATTACTTGCCTATCCGAACTATGAAAATTCCACTTCAAGGGATGACGAGATAACCATTTGCCAAAACGAGTTTATATAAAGTTTTTATATTTACGAGCTGCGTTAGATCGATCTAACGCAGATACTGATTAGCACGTGTAGCCAATGGGGCTTCAAACGTCCCATCATCACAATCATATGAGTTGCTGACAATCGACCTTGACCGGTGAAATTCGTCGATGTACGTCGCTCATTCGCAAACAAGGCCCAAAAAGTCTATCGCCCCTATAATGAATCGATAGGCCCCTAAACCCCCCCCCCCAACCGTCCCCCAATATAACCATCAGCTAAAGGGAGCAATCTCTTTGTATCTGTTCCAGGAGTCGGCTCGCTCGTAGGATGGACGCCGTCGAGCCGCAAAGCGCAACGCTCGTCCTGGAGGCTTGAGGAGGAGGACCGAGCCAATCGGGAGCCAAAGGCTGGAAACGCGGGGAAGCCGCCGAGCGATGCCTTCGTCGCAGAATGCCGCCAGCGAGCGGCGCAACGGCGAGAAAACGGTGAGTACTTGGACGAGGCTCGGCCAGGTCGGCTATGCCGTAGAGCCAATTCACGATAAACCAAGTGTTTTGACGCGAGCAACTCGGTACACAATCTTTTCCACAATATCCTTGTCGCGTTTGGCATTAGTGAACGTCGGCCGAGCAAAGTAGCTTGCCTCGAGGGGCCCTATCCTCGTTTTATTACCATCCTCCTCTCGATGTATGGATCTGTCCGGTCGTAAAAGAAGGAGGGCTGATTGTTGTTGCGGGGGGGGGCTATCTGACAACGGTCAATATCCTCTGTCGAGTCGTTTGTCTTGAAAAGGTTGGATGCGTTGAGAGGATGGGCGACACTTTAATAACAGTGTCCTCGAATCTGCGCGCACCCCCTCCTCAGAAACCTTATATTATTAGCGTGAATTCGACGTCCCGTTTATCTTATGAAAATCGACACTTTTTTTTCCCCAACCGCGCACGGAAATTCTCGTTCCGAAAGATTAGGCCGCTTGTAGTAGGCACGAGCACGCGAATGATGTGAAAAAAGTGTTGCGCCCTCAAGCAGCTTGGAGTCACGTTCTCAAGGACGAGCCTGAAAATAATAGGCTCGATAATAGGCGAGGGCATGGGACGAGTGTTGGGAAAATTTCGCGATACCTTGTATCAACAGTTGTTATTGCGAGTCGGGATGTCGCGTCGCCGAGGTTTCTTTATTCAATCCCGGTGTATTAAAGCAGTCGGATCGATAAAAATATCGATGCCCATGACGATTCAAAACTCATACGGCCAGAAGGAAGTGCTGTGCTGCGGGCTAAAAAGACAAAACCGAATACTTTCGAATTACGTAGACGCGTCGAGGTGGCGAACGGGGAGGGGGGGGGGTCCGCCAACTCGATTGGCAGGATCGACGAAAGGTAAAGGGTAAATGGTAAAGGTCACGGTCTTGAATGAATTTGCCCTGGATGTCGATGGATGGGTCACGCCATGGGCCGATGACGCAGGAGTCGAATCGTCATTTGTCAACGATTGCGCCCCCGTCGAAAAACGAAGAAGAAGATCGTTTTGCGCATGGCAATTACGAATCGCCGCTGTGTATAGGACATACGGCTGGTGGTTCCCACGTGCGCGCACGCATTTACAAACAACTGCGTTTGCCATCTTGTCGAGCGACTTTGGTTTTATCGTAAACATATTTTACAATCGGCTTCGAAATCGCAAGTATTCTAATAAATATTTGTTTAGTGCGCGTTGGAGCGCGCCTCGGCGATATGTTTTGCCATCGATGTAATTTCTACATCGTCACGGTTAAAGGCAACGTTCGCATTACGTAAGTTATAGATTATCTTAAATGGCATCATTTAACTTTAACGAATCTTAGCATTTAAGCTCTTGATTAAAACGCGTGCGCAATGCCATTTGGTCCATAAAACGTGAAATAAAATAGTCGGGGAAAGGAGGATATCGAAGGTAGTAGTGGAGGGATAGGAATTGCGTGGCCCGCGATTCCTTCGTTATTTTAATGTTCATCAGCTCAGGATAAATAAATGCACATCATCAGATGTTTAAAAGTAATCTTACATCGTATTTTAAAATATTAGATTGTTACGTAAATAAAACTAGAACATGTAAATTACAGTAAGTTTAGTAACTGAATTTTTTAATCGACAGTCTGAGCCTGGGAATACGGAATTAAGTAGGAACTGGATTCATAAAAATTGCTTGGCACAAATCTCTCATTATAATTAGTGAAAAATACTACCTTTCTATAAAAGTGTGGGGCGGGGAGGAGGAGGGGGGGGGGAAGGAGGAGGAAGCATAGTTAATTAGAGTTTAATATTCGTATTTTAGTTTTATTCATGAAAATTCTATCCACGTAGCTCTTTCCTTTCCCTGGAAATAAATTTGCAAATAATTTAAAGATCGCTGTTAGTGAGAGCAGCGTAAAGTGAAAGATTGAATAAAATCTCAATTAAGTAATTAATATATTCAACAACCAGAAAAAAAAAAAAGAAAAGAGAAAAAGAAAGATTTAAAATGCTAATGAAATTTATTTTCTCATTATAATACACGACTGTTTTGTATAAAAAGACAATATGTTTGAAAACCGACTCTATAAATTTAAAAAAAGCTCATAGTTTTCCATAAATATATTGTTGGATAAATATCGATCAACACTTAGTAAAGAATAAATGACGAAGAAAAAAAAAAAGATGAGAGAGAGAAAAATGGAACTATTCTAATACTCTTTACAGTGAAGATTTTAGGATAAATTTCTTAAAATTCCCATCCTCTCTATCTCTCTCTCTCTCGTATGTTTTGCATTATGGAAAGTAGGGCAGACATTTCCTTAGCAATTTTGATCCTTGAACGGATTAGCCTGAATCGAATAATGTTTTGTGAAATAGTCATAATCAGATGGAAAGTCTTAGTTTTCACGAGCTTCCGTCGTCACCGTCGTTAATGCATCTAAAGAATCATCCTAATTGAGTCCAAAGTGTTTAAATATTTTAGATACATTCATCAAAGCGTCATTTTGTCATTTTGTGAAATTTTGAAAGACCATAACGAAATGCCCTATTTTGCATTCCCAATTACCAATTCGCTTTGTATTTTTTTTATTTTTTAAGTATCGAATCGATAATCGATTAAAATTGATCCACGATGCATCCACGGTGTCATAGTAAATTGCATTGCTCATTCCACATAATTCTAAACGCCATACAATTATTGATAATAATTAATATCATAAAGCTGAAATCTTTATCTAACAAATGAAAGTCCATTATTATCTAAACTAAAGTATTGGTGAGCATTTATTAGAAGTGCGCGGGGGTGAGCGGGTGGGGCGGGGGGGGGGGCGCAATCGTGGAAATATCGATTATGATGAAAACTAATTGAACTTTTATAGATTACACACGAGCCACCGAAATTGAAAACGACGCTGAAAACACCACCGAAACAGGCGACAAATCCTCTACAATTTGTCAAAGTTGGGCCATGTTCGCTTTATCGCACGGCTCAAGAGCAATTGCAGAAGGTTCAAGAAGTTAAGAAAGTCAAGCAAGAAATTCGAGATGATCCCGAAGATTGGCAATCGGTTAGTATACTCAAAACCCATTGCTCGTTAGATTCCGTAAGTGCGCTCGTGCACGCGTGCAACCAGCAATTCCAACGATCATTCGACCATAAGTGTATTAATGGCAAACGGCAACAACCAGTTGCCTATACTTTTCAGCCAACTAATTCCAATTAATCATATATTCGCGAGTCTCACTTTATCGCGTATCTTGCTATAATCAACATCTCCATCTTAATGATTAAGATGATTAAAGAAATTATGAAGCAGACGATAAAGCCAATGTCTAGTAACGAGCATAAATAAGCATTTTCGTGTGTCGTTACTTATCTTTATAAATATTGCTAAATATTATTTCACATTATTTGGCACATTATGAATAGCACTCGACCCTCTCTCTCTCTCTCTCTCTCTCTCTCTCTCCCACTCACTCACTCACTCACTCACTCACTCACTCACTCACTCTCTCTCCCACTCACTCACTCACTCTCTCTCCCACTCACTCTCTCACTCTCTCTCCCACTCACTCTCCCACTCACTCTCCCACTCACCATAACTTACAAAATTTACATTGGCAATTCCGCGACGGTCCGCGTAAGGTTCACATAATAAATATCACAAGATCAAGAGTCCAATTTGCTGCGACAGATATGCGTGTGAATGAAGATTCAAAAATGAAAAAAATTAATTAATAATTGAATTGCTGCCTCGTACGCCCTATAGAACCTCGACAATTGGAAGAGCAGCCGACGGAAACGGCAGGAGCACATAATCGAGCGCGTGGTCGAGGTGAAGAAGCTGGAGCTCGAGGAGCACGACCGCCAGCGCCGCCGGAGCAAAACCTTCTCGGAGATGATGGAGGAGCGCGGCAGCCGGGGCCGAAAACCCAGCATAAGCCTCGCCATGTACAGCGAGGAGGACACCAACGACCTGAGCGACCTCGGTATCGGGACGAGCAGCGGCAAGAGCTCGGTGAGCGGTGACACCCATGACGACGCCCAGAGTGTCCTCGTAAGTAATCCGCAAGTGTGAAGCTCCAAGCCTTGAACCCAGATTAATCGCAATTTTAATGATCCCGATGCTTTGTCCGCACGCGCCTCTCCGCTCTCCCATTCACTGTTTCACGGTAAATCGACATTGTGGCGCGGCGCAACCAACCCTCGACGGATTTCTAGTAAAGGGCGCGACCACCCACCCGATCGTAATACACTGGATGATCGCTCGGGCTATCATTGGCGGAGACGAAAGTTTGAGCAACGGAGTTCCCACGTTATTCAACTAAGCGTAACCAAAGTATCCTCAAAGTCGCCGGAGTATGGCGTTGCAAGTCTAATGTGCTTTTCGGTTCGTTTCGTACCCGCGCCATTTTAAAATTCGTAATGGCTTCGCGCAGCCATAAAGGCCACGGATGCTAAGGACAAAAAGATATAAACATTTTGTTTACGATCCTCCAATACTATTACTACTTTGTACTCGAGGGACACGCATTAAGATTATTTTTTTCCGACTTTATCGTGCCATTGTTTTACCCCACTTTTATTATAATGGCAATTCTAGTCGAAACTGTAAAGTCCCTTCCTACCGTATCGTAGCGTATCGAAAGTTGCATTGTTCGTTGAATGTGTGATCGGGAGGTTCAAAATCGTTGCGATGCGATTACGAAACGGAGCATTGCCGATGTATGGGCGGGTGATGGGTTGTACGGGTATTGGGGATGGGGTGGGAGAGAAAGGAGGAATTTGGGGGAGTAATGACTGGTCGTCGGAATAAAGTATCGATGGGGAATTTTAGGTCTCCCTCAAAATCGCCTTTAGCGAATATTTCGAAGACTTTAACGAGACAATAACATTGTCGAATTATTAGCGCTATAAAATGAATTATCGCCTGATGGAATGCAAAGCACTTATTTCCCAATGGCTTCGAACGGCTTCTTATCGACGTGCGCTTAAATTTCTCGAACGGTATCTAATAAATTGTTTATTGTTATTCGTTATCGTATAGTGAGTGCATTGAGGGAAAAAAATTTTTTCCTTTTAAGCGCAAGCTTATTTATACGTTGGTAATATCCTAAGGGGATAAGGAAATGTTATAAAAATTAAGTTTCACTTATCGACGGATGATACTACAATGTAGACTTTAAAGCTTTTTGATTATCGCATAATTCCTCGTTGGTAATTCATGTAATTTCATTCGAGCATTGAATAATTTTATCGCTCAAAATTGCCCGATAAAGCCAAGGAGTTGCCGGTGTCGTGTGGCACTCCCTTACACAAACAGTCTCACTCAATGTCAAATGATAAACATTTTGAAAGATCATCGCCTCGGCGTATGTATTAATTGGAAGAATCGATGTACATTGGCGGCAATTGCCGTCTGGGCATTAAAAGTCCGAGTGCCCAGGGTCCCACTCGCGTACGGGCATGGATTTTCTCGATAATGTTCGTTTTTTTTTCCTTTGAACGGCCATGGCCAGGAAGGGAATCCTTACCGCGATACGACACCTCAACGACTAACAACGCGCCGCTAACGTACATTTGCCTCGATTGCACTACTACCACGACGACAACGACGACGACAACGACAACGACATCGACATCGACATCGATATCGACGACGAAGACAAAGACAAAAGTAACAAAAAAAAAAAAAAAAAAAAGCGCGTGGACAAAGCACTGGAGCAATAGAGGGACTAAGCTGGGCTGAGAGGTGGCTGGACTTTGAGCCGAGAGTCGAGTAATGGACTAAAAGCGCGGGCCCGAACCTTTCAGGAACTCCTGACACGAGCGCTGCGCAAACAGCACGAGCGACTCGTTTCGGTGACTTCATCACGGTCCAACTCTAAAGGCCACGTGAGCGACTGCCCCAGTGGCCTCATTCCGCTGATCTGCCTGTTACAGAGCGACCGGGACAGCGAGATCGACAAGAGCCATTCGGACGTAGACAGCGGGGGGCGCACGAACGGAAACGAGGGGCCGGCTCCGGTCGCCGCGTCGCCCCCTGCCTTAATCCACGGCCTTAAGAAGCAGGAGACCCTCGACAATGGTATCCACAAGCTCGCGCCCGCCAAGCGCATCGGCCAGCAAGAGTACGCGGAGACGCGCGCTGCGCCCACGGCCAGCTCCCCCGAACCCGAGGAGTACACGTTCGAGGCTGCGATCCGCGGTTACGTGTCCCGCGTCGCTCACAATATCCCCCGGCGCTCGCTCGCGAGCCTCGACGCCAGGCTCGAGCGCGCGGTAAGCAACGGCCACGTCGCGCCCATCAAGGTCGACATCCACAAGCGTCGCGAGATATTCGAGCAAGCAGCCCGCGAGCCCGCCGACGCCAAGAATAACAACGGCAACGGTAACGGCAATGGCAATGGCAATGGCAACAGCAACGGCAACGGCAACGGCAACAATAACGGCAGCGTTAGCGGCAGCAACAGTAGCATCGGCAGCCTTGGCAGCGGATGCTACAACGCTAGTAGTATCGGTAGTAGCAGCAGCAGCAGCAGCAGCAGCAGCAGCAGCAGCAGCAGCAGCAGCAGCAGCAGCAGCAGCAGCAGCAGCAGCAGCAGCAGCAGCAGCAGCAGCAGCAGCAGCAGCAGCAGCAGCAGCAGCAGCAGCAGCAGCAGCAGCAGCAGCAGCAGCAGCAGCAGCAGCAGCAGCAGCAGCAGCAGCAGCAGCAGCAGCAGCAGCAGCAGCAGCAGCAGCAGCAGCAGCAGCAGCAGCAGCAGCAGCAGCAGCAGCAGCAGCAGCAGCAGCAGCAGCAGCAGCAGCAGCAGCAGCAGCAGCAGCAGCAGCAGCAGCAGCAGCAGCAGCAGCAGCAGCAGCAGCAGCAGCAGCAGCAGCAGCAGCAGCAGCAGCAGCAGCAGCAGCAGCAGCAGCAGCAGCAGCAGCAGCAGCAGCAGCAGCAGCAGCAGCAGCAGCAGCAGCAGCAGCAGCAGCAGCAGCAGCAGCAGCAGCAGCAGCAGCAGCAGCAGCAGCAGCAGCAGCAGCAGCAGCAGCAGCAGCAGCAGCAGCAGCAGCAGCAGCAGCAGCAGCAGCAGCAGCAGCAGACAGAGGCGGCCGACCGGACACGAGCGGCTACAAGTCCATCAAGGAGCGGCTCTCGAACCTCGAGAGGCAGAAGATAGATCTCGAGGAGAAGGGCACGGCCGCCCTCAAGGAGCACCTCTACCCGAGAGCCAAGCCCAATAAGGAGTTCAAGATTCGGGACCTCCTCGCCGAGGAGCTCGAGGATGTGAAACCGCTGAGGGAGCGATTATCCAGCCTCGAGAAGCTCATCGCACCATGCGAGACGAGCTTCGCCGCGGCGCAGTTCAACAGCGAGCTCAAGGCCAAGAGCATCATCAAGGACAGGCTCGTGGCCCTCGACCTCGAGAGCTGCGACGACGTCGAGGATAAGCGCCGCCCGAGCTGCTTCCACGAGGAGGTGCGTTCTCAAACCGCCGACCAACGTCCATTGATTGCCATTGATCGACATTGCTCTCGGGGCTATGGATTTACCGATCGCGCACCCTCGTCATCGACATCCTCCCCTCTCCTCTCTTTCTTTATCCATGACTATATTGCATCGTGATTATCGTAAATACACGCACTCACTTGGCCGCTCACTGACTGCGACTCTTTAAATTTTTAAATCTTCCTCTGCTCCATTAATCAATAATCGGCGTATCCTTGGCCTCCGTATCCTCGGAGGTCGCCCTCGCCTAACAATTCTACCGATAAATCCCTTGCGAATAGTCCCGACACTTTCGAACACCAGAGTCCTCCCCGATCATTCTTCGACTCGGGTGTGATCGCAGCTTCCTCGTTACGTCATCCATCTCGAGTAGCCCGGGCGCTCAGCCAGAGGCTGATTCCATCTCCCATCCAAATGTCCTTGACGAGTGACGAATCGACCCGCGAACTCCCCAATCCATCCCCGCCGTTCATAAAGCGAACCCTTTCTTTTAACGCAGGTGAACAGTATGCCGACGAACTCGACGCCGAGCGAGCGCAGCTCGTCGCCCGACTCGGAGTACCGCTCGCCTCGCGGTGCCACCTTCCACCAGAGCCTCGACTCCCTGGACGCGGACGCCTCGAGTGGCCCCGACACGTTCGAGCGCGTGCAGAGCCTCGAGGAGCTGGACTACCACCAGGCGCGCCGCTACCCGGCCTCCACCTCGTCCGCCGAGGTCCTCAACGACACGGATCGCGAGGACTCGGGCATCCACACGGCGGACGCGAGCTGCTCCGTCAGCCAGGCCGACGAGCCGATCGAGGAGGAGATCGAGCCCGACCCCGAGCACAAGCACCAGCTCGATCACCACCAGCACAGCCTCAACCATCTCAACCATCTCAACCATCACAATCATCACAATCACCATAATCGTCATCTCAATCACCGCAACCACAAACACAACTACAACCATAATCATTATAACGACAACCAGCACTATCATCAGAAACTTCTGGAAACGCCGCTGTTCATCGTCGACGAGCAGAACGAGTTTCGGGATAGCATCGAGGCGGCCTTGATCGAGACCACCAAGAGCCTCGACAGAATCGAAGAGAAGATTATCGGGCTGACATTGAAGCCGGAGAATCGCGATGCTGTGCTGATTGAGTCGGTAAGTCGATAAGTCAATAATGTTAAATTCCCAAATCCCAATCCCATGCTCGCGTGGATTATCTTTAAAAATGGTTATCCTTGGGTTTGCGCGCGGTGATGGAAGTAAGGAGTACGAGTGGTGCTGGTGTTGGTGGTGGTGATGGTGGCGGTGATGGTGGCGGTGGGTATCGGTGGTATTGGTGTCGGTGTCAGTCTGATACTGTCGAACGATTGCTTTCTGAACTTGACGTGCGCTTGAAATCCGCCGTTAAAGAAAGAGAGAGCGAATTCGCGCACTCAAGGTCACTTATTCTTATTCAATTTGCATGGATAGACAATTTGCACGCATAAACATCGATAAGCTATAACGACAAAAGTGTGGCGATTTTTTTAGATTCATTTTCTTAGGTACAGCCTAAGGTTCATTTATTTATCTTCGACTGTGGCGCGTAAACGACTAACAGGTACAACGGAGGCTAATATTAATTAATTTACTAGCACTTACGAGCAAGAATTAATTGCGAGTGTAAAGTATTGGACAAGTGAACTGGTCGCTCCTACTACCAAACGGCCAAATAAACTCATTGTTTATCAGTGTAATACGCTACTTGTGCTCGGATGATAAGAAGCGAATATCAATGAGACACTGATGATCGAGTCGGTGGTTGATCTGCGGATAATAAGCATAATATACGCGAGATTAAAATAAATTTAGAAGTGAGTCACGTGAGTTAGAGAGATAGAATTGAGAAAGAAGAAGACGGAAAATCTGTCGACGTAGCTGAATAACATAGCGAGCTTCGTGTGGCTGTGTGTAGTACGTAAGTGATGTGTGTGCGCGTGTGTGGCATCCAATGTTCCTCGGATCCACCGTACTCCTTGCTCTCAGCATTTATCGCTCTCGTCCATATATCAATATGCTTGACACTTGGTTTATAACGACTCAACCCAACCCCCTCCCCAAACCCCTTAACCCTTCAAACATCGCGTCATATTACGTAAAATACTTTGTCTCGCATTTTTTGTTCATTGTTTTTTCTTATTTGTCTATTTTTTTTTTTTTTTTTTGTTTTGTTTTGTTCTGTTACCTTCGCTCCGTAAATATAATGATGATGGTCCCGGTGGTTGTGGTTACGGGGCATCGATTGTACATGAATGCCTTTCTTTTCTTTTTGTTTGTCCGACGACGACCGGTCAACAGGGCACCGCTGACACTTCTTCCTTCTCTTCCACTGCTGGGCCAGCACTAGGGCTATCCGCTAACCAGGGCATTACCGAGCCACGGAGCACTAACGCTAGCGTGCCTCGTACCTTCTGCACCTCCCCCGCGCCCCTCATCATCCCAACCACCGTCTGCTCGCGTCCCGTGGTCTACCAAAGTCCCCGGATCCCACCCCGAAGGTTTGCTCCCGAAGCGCGGCCGAGACCCTCTCACCTGGCCGGCCTTGACGGGAGCCACGCGGGCCCGGCGCCCGGAGCGCCTTCGAACCGATCCCCCCTGCAGCAAAAACCCCCCGCGGAACAGGAGGCCGAGGTGACGACAAGCAGTCCCGTAGCCCGGAGCCCCTTGGCCTCCCCTCGCTCGCCCTCCAAAATCCCGACTCCCTTGCCTAGAAGAGGAGCCGTTACCCCGACTTCCGCCGAGGCCGGACAACCGGCTCCCGTCCCTCTGCCCCTCTCCATCAAGCAACGTACCAGCCTCCCGAGCAGATCCCAATCAGCAATGCCCTCGGAGATTCCCGTACCCGTGAAGTCGCCCATCGGCTGCCCCGGCCCGAGGATCGGGCCATCTCCCTCGCCGGAACCCCTGCAGCGCGTCGTCGTGGAGGTCTGCGAGAAGGTGCTGGTGCCCCGGGGTCAGACGCGAGTTACGCCCTTCATCACCGTCGAGCGCTACGCGGACGAGGTGAGCGGCAACACTGAGATCAGAGTCGACGAGCATCTCAGCACCGCCTACAAGTCCTAATGCTCTTGTTGTGGTCGTTGACGTTCTCTCGCTCTTCATCATCATCATCATCATCATCATCATCATCATCATCATCATCATTATTTTCTTATATCCTTTTCCTTACATTGTACCCCCTCCCGCCCCACCCCACTACGGGCCCCGTTACGATAAACCGAGTCCGCGCCACGGGATTCGCGAATCCGCCGTCACGGCGATACGCGCCTTCGACACCACGGAACAATTCACCGGAATTATCTCTTTGAGATTAGCGTGGCGACGCCGACAGCAGCGGCTCTGGCATCACGGGACAATCGTTCGGCTGAATAATTGTCGAATGGGCGCAAAGACCCTGGGAAACAAGGAGAGCCTGATTACGTCGATTTGCGAAGCATCGGGTAGAAGAGAAGCCAAGAGTCGATCGTGCCTTCTTCTGAAAGCGGAAGTTTCCAATGACTACGGGGACAAGAAGCCCAGCTGCGCCCATCCACTTGAACGCGATGAACGTGATGAAAACGCGAATAGAGAACGAAAGGTGGGGGGCGACGGAGGGGAGAGTGGAGATTGTGCACGAGGGGAAGACGCACGACACTTTGTATATAGACGATAAGAGACGCGATGACAGTATCTCGGCATATTCGCCACGGGATGTTGCGTAACGCGGTGGCGCTTTAATTTAATTTATTTATCCGCGTCTCGTCGGGCTCTCTTCTTGCACCTCTTCAAAATCAAAAAATCGAAAAAATTACCAGGCAAAAACCAAAAACAAAGGCGACGAATGTACTCATGAAACAGACCGTGATGATCCGATTCTCTCGTTCTTCTCGTTCATTCTCTTCCGCTCCACCTCTACCTCCACCTCCACCTACCAACCCACCCACACCGCTCCCCCTAAGCTATCATCAAATGCGCATTGGATATAAGCGTGGCATTGTTATTTGGCGTAGCGCTAGTCGCTTCCGCCGAAATCGCCGATACAATCATTATTATTCTACGCAATAATACGAATAATGCGATTAGGTAATCGTATGGCCAAGTGGCGGACTAGAAATTAGTTTGACTTAATACGGAATTGGAATGGTTTGAAAGAAAATGCGATACTGCGCGCGCATTGGCCAATGATTGTCTTGCGATGTTAGTTGTACGGGAATGAAGAAGAGTATCTAAGATTGCAGTCATTAAATGATTTATAGCATGAAATTATAATGGAATGTATTATGACAAGTAGGACCAAAGAGCCAAAAAAAAAAAAAAAAAAAAGAACTATCATCGCGTTTCAAATAAAAACTTCTCGCGTGTTCGATACAATTTACAAATTTGAGAAATCATTTACTTTAATGATTATAATCTATCATGAATATATAATATTTTTATAATCTATCAAACTCATTTTCGATAACATCTGTTTTTCTTCATTTTAAAATATAATCGATAATATAAATTTAACGATTTCACATTATCTTGAATTGCTTAAAAGAAATGAAAAAAAATAATAATAATAATAATAATAAATGAATATATATATACATATGTGTGTAAAAACTATCTCGTATAAATTAAAGCTTTGGAATAATTATTGAAAACTCGACTTTTCCACTTTTCCACTTTTATTCTACGTTGTTAAATAGAATGATAGAAGAAGAAAAAAACAATAGGTTAAAAATCTTTGAAAGAGCCAATCGTTTAATTTAAGCGAAATTGTCTCTCAAATAATTGTTTTTATGGCGCTTAAAAAAAGAAAAAAATAAACTTTGCATAAATATAAAGTATGTCATGAAGATGAATCATTTTGAATACAAAACATCGTATTATATTCTTTGTTTGCTAGATTGAAACGCCAGTTTAGATAACAACTAGTATTTTTAAATTTAGAGTTAAGTTATAAATATTGAAATTTAGTACTAGACAACAATAATAATAATAATAATAATAATCGGACATTAATTTCAAATTTATATATATATATATATATATATATATATATATCGCTGATACAATATCTAATTCGTAATTTGTTTATGCATTTACGCATGAATTCATGTGTATATACAATCATACACACGAGCACGAGCACGAGCACGAGCGCGCGCGCATACAAACACATGCGAACAAACGTATAAAAAGAAAAAGAAAACCAAAAAACGAGAGAGAAATTTCTTGAAATTCTGCTAAAAATTTTGAGAAAAAAATTCGCGACAAAAAGAAGTCGACCTCGAAAAAATAATGTATCGTGATACTTTTGAGGTTATCTCGTGTGTAATATACGGTAATAATGTATTATTTAGTTCATGGGAGAAACGAAAAGTTGAAAAATACTTATTGCCCTATTTATTGCTTAATAAACATCTAAAAACTATAAAGATTCTGTATCGAAAGCTTAACTCGTAAGTTGTACGCGTTATAATGTCGAATTAAAACTTGTAACATTTGGGATTGTGAGGCACGAAGGAAATATACGGAAATTCTGCATTATCTGAAAATTCAGTCAACTTTCTTAAACCCTCAGCAATGTTATTCTTTCAGGCTAATTACAGGCTAAAAATCACATTTCTTAACAATAGCTAAGAAATTTTAATGAACTATTTTTATAAACAAGAATCAGCCCCAGATGACGTCCCATGGTATATTAATAATTCATCGACGTTGATATATGAATTTGAAATAATCTTCCTTCATTATTGAGACTTCAATTTAATAATTTTATTTTACAATTTTTTTTTTAAGTACACGACACTGTCAGTCAAATAATACGTTGTAAGGGACAAAAACGTGTGTACACTACTGTGCTAGACGACTTGCTGCTTTGGGCGGGGCAGGGGGGGGGGGATTTCTAAAAGTGTTGTCGCTAGTGCAATGTCACCCTTTACAAAAACCTGATTTCGAAATAACCAAGAAGGCAATGTGAAATGTAACCAAGTAGAGCCGACACGAGCAATCGAGTAAACGAAATAAAAATCATCGGTGCTTTGCCAATTTTCTTCGAGGTCTGCAATTATATTCTAACCTTTGGTCAGTCAAGGTAAGGGTGATTTTAACGGTTAATTCAATCCTGAAAGGCAGCCCACGCCTATTGTCTTTATTGAATTTAAGGCTTGAAAGTTTTTGTGTTTTCGCTCTTAATGGCTTTGTGTATATATATATATATATATATATATATATATATATGCATCTTCATTTTTAATATGCTTTTTCGCTTTTTGCTTTGCCTGGCTTCTAAATCTTGCGTTGCTTACGCTTTCACATTAGATCGACCGAGTGCTCCAATTACTCTAGCATCATATATTTGTAATTGCATATTATTTGCATTGATAATGTCGGCAATCCGGCTGTCTAATGTCAGCTAATAATAATAATAAATACATTTTATTACAATTATAATCGATCGAGGGGGAGGGGGGGAGGGGCGTGTGTGAGAGAGAGAGAGAGAGGGAGGTAACGTATGGATTGACGATAAACAGATTGTTTTATTTTTTGTTTCGTTTCGACGAGAACTCTGCCAGAGCCCAACGGACTTTAATTTATTCGAAAACTATGCGATAGAATTTTATGAAATTACATTGAAATGCGCGGATATAAAATTCAGAATAAATATAATGTGACTGTTAATTGGTAAGAAATCTTTATGGCCTAATAATATAAATAAAGTGCTAGTGTATCGAGCATATATTATTTTCAATTTAATATCTAAAGTGCTCGTGCAATGCAGCATATCCGTTTTTTTTTTCTTCTTTCTCTTTCTGTTTTATTTTTTATTTTTTTTTTTTTTTTTTGCTTATTTATTGTTGTTGTTGTTGTTGTTGTTGTTGTTATAACCTATAATTAAAATGGAGTCGATTTGAATTTTAATTTGCTTATAAATAAGGCATCGAAATTTTTGCAAATATTCACTTGCCGATTTAAATTCTCATCCATCTGCGCAATAAAAGAAGTGCTTAATATTATCTGAAGAGCAGCGCACCTATTTTATCAATCGCCTAACAATAAAATGTTATCTTCCCGATTCTTAATCATGGCATCATCTACCTAAACAGGCATTTTCAATGTCATTATTACCTTATCGCGGGAGCGTGTGTCATTCAGAATACGTTGGACAAACGTT